TACTAAAAATACAAAAAAATCACGAGACGTGGTGGCAGGCACCTGTGGTCCCAGTTACTCACGAGGCTGAGGCAGGAGAATGGCGTGAACCCGGGAGGCAGAGCTTGCAGTGAGCCGAGATCGCGCCACTGCACTCCAGCCTGGGTGACAGAGCGAGACTCTGTCTCAAAAAATAAAAAATAAAAAAAATAAAATAAAATGCATGAAGAATACTGAAGCACCCAGAAGATTTCAGAGTGGCCAGCCTGGGACAGGGCTATGCAGGATAACTTTTGAGTGGTGAGATTGGAGCCGGGTTTTGTAGTTAGAAGTGGAGGCCAGGCGTGGTGGCTCACACCTGTAATCCCAGCACTTTGGGTAGCTGAGGTGGGTGGATCACTTGAGGTCAGGAGTAAAAGAGCAGCCTAGCCAACATGGCAAAACCCTGTCTCTACTAAAAATACAAAACATCAGCTGGACATAGTGGTGTGTGCCGGTAATCATAGCTACATGGGAGGCTGAGGCAGGAGAATGGCCTGAACCCAGGAGGCGGGTGTTTCAGTGAGCTGAGATCACACCACTTCAGTCCAGCCTGGGTGACAGAGCGAGACTCCATCTCAAAAAAAAAAAAAAAGAAAAGAAAAGAAATGATAGGCTATATGTATTCAGAAGAAGCATAGATACATGAAGAGTGCCCAGTCAGTGAAGGGCCTTGAGTAGAAGCACATGATGTAGTTGATATTTCTCTTTATGACTCCCCAAGATCTTAAGGGAAGTATTTTTAATGAAAATGATGAACAAAAAGCATCACTGGATTACATGAGATTAGAACTGGAAAACATAAAATCTGTGAAGGTAACTAATATAGAACAATAAGACTTTTAGCAGCCTTTTTTCCTGCAAAGTCCAATTCCCGGAAACGTGGTTGACACTGAAATGTTGGATAAACATAAATGGAATAAATGGATTATGATAGTGACTGGGAATGTATAAGATATGAGCTAAATATAGATTCTTGATACAGAAGAGACATATTGAAAGAAAAACTTTTTCTAAAATTAAAAATATTCAATTATTATTATCTCAGTAAAATCTGGAGATTCTATGGGGACATAGGGAGAACATCTCTCAATCAGGTTCCAGTTGCAGAGGACGGAATCCACCCATCTATTTTAAACAAGAAGGAATTTGTTACAGAGCCATGGTAAGTGGGCCTCAGAATCATTGCACAGCTGAAGTAGTAGATTCTAAACTAAACTTTCAGGAACAACTCTCAAACTCAAAGCTGCTCCCAGAACTGGGGCCCCACATTGCTGCTGCCATGGCAACTTATTAAGAAGCTGTTAGGATCAGGAAGGCACCGCCATCACACCTGCCTCAGCACCAAGCAGTGGCTCCTTTCATTGGCTCCATAACTGCTCCTGTCTGCACCAGCAAAATGGATGGGATATTTTTGACACCACGTAGTTAGGGGCAGAAAACTGGGACCTCAGCCACAGAAAACTGATGCCTCCAAGACTGTGCTTGACTATAGGAACAGCAGAAGTGGCTGCTCTCTCACAAATCTCTTAGAAGGCATTTCACTGACCAGGCCAAAGTTACCCTTCAGTCTCTGGCTCCAAAGAGGCCAGCTTCCAGCACTTTGCAGCGAAGGCAGGTTTGCCCACACAGAGAGGGAGAAGCAATGTAGCAGCAAGTATCTGGAAGGAAGAAATAGTTGGTATTTTGTTTGCATATGATAACAAACATTTGGTTTCATTTGGTTCCTAGTATCAGGCATTTTGTTTTCAGAACACTTTAATACAATTATTTGTGAAGGGAGGGTAACAACTTACAGAATTGAAAACAATGATAGAACATTTACATTAACAAGAGAAAAAAAGGTAATAAGCTGAAACTCTACCAAGCCAGCAAATAGTAGAGGAAAAGAGGAGAAACCAACAAAGTAAACTAAATTGTAAATATAAAATAAGAAAAAAAAAAGGAAAAAATCAAGTGCACCATTGCTACATTAAAATGTAAAAGGACTAAATACTCCTATGTAAAGAAAGATTAGGAATATGTTGGATAAAAATAAAAACACACATGAGTTGCTTAGAAAAACTTTAAGCCATATTTCTTAAAGGTTAGGGAAGTGAAAAGATGAACAGAAATATACAAGACAAAGAGCAAACAAAATAATACTAAAAGCAATTTGTGTTGGAAAGGAAGCATAAAATAGTAGAAAGAGGAGCAATTTGTAAAGTCATAAACTTGCATGTCCAAATAACACAGCAAGTATAAATGCATTTTTAAAAACTGTCACAATGCAGGAAGAATTGATTGATAATTCAGTTTTATGGTGGTATGTTTTAATGAGTAGATAGTAGATCACAGGTTAGGATAGAGAGGCTTAATGATCCAATTTAGAAACTGACTTACTAGGTATATATCACAGAATTTTATATAGAATTTCATGTCCTTTCTCTAGCCTCCTAGTGCCATGAAACATTTAGAAAAATTAGTCAAGTACTTGGCCTAGAGTACTTGACTATTCTAGCCAATTTTCTTGGCTAGAAAAATTCAAAAGAGCTTTTATAGGCCACATTCTTTAAGTATTGCCCAATAAAACTAGAAATAAGTATTAAAATATAACCAAAAATTTTTAACAACTTGGAAATTAAGAAACACACTTGGGACAAAGGTAAAATCAGAATGAAATTCTGAACTACCTAGAAAACAATGACAAGGAGAACACTTCAAAATCTATGAGACAAAGAGAGACTGCCAATAATAAAAGTTAATACATAAGAAACTAGAAAAAAAAATACACCAAAAGAAAAGAGAATTTTAAAAGATGGAAGCAGAGGTTAATACAATGGAAAATAGCAAAAACTAAAATAGCAGAATGGATAAATAAATTCAAAAGTTAATTTGTGGTAACATACAAATCCCCTCTGAAACCTTTCTCTGGAGAAAAGTTAGAAATGAGAAAACAAACATAACCAAAATATTGAAGAAATTCTAGAAGATGGAGATACCACGTATAACTTTTTGGAAACTCGATTTTTTTTTTTTTTTTTTTTTTGAGACAGAGTCTCACTCTGTCACCCAGGCTGGAGTGCAGTGGCGTGATCTCAGCTCACTGCAACCTCCACCTCCCAGGTTCAAGCAATTCTCCTGCCTCAGCCTCCAGAGTAGCTGAGATTATAGATGCATGCCACCACGCCCAGCTAATTTTTGCATTTTTAGTAGAGACAGTGTTTCACCATATTGTTCAGGCTGGTTTCGAACTCCTGATCCACCTGCCCCGGCCTCCTAAAGTGCTGGGATTACAAGTGTGAGCCACCGTGCATGGCCTGGAAACTAGATTTTTAAACCTAGAGCAGGGATCTGCAAACTTTCTCTCTAAAGATCAGAGAGTAAATGATTTAGGCTTTGTGGACCATACCGCCTCTGTCACAACCACCCAACTCAATCACTGTAGCACAAAAGGAACCTTAGACATTATTATATCAAATGGATCAAATGGGTATGACTGTGATCCAACAAACTTTATTTACGAAAATAGGCCATGAGTGGATTTGGCCTGCAGGTTATAGTTTGTCAAACCCTGAACCAGAGGAACCCAGTATAGCAAAATACAAACTACCAAAATTGAGCCAAGGAGAACTGAAAACTTGAATAGATGAATTAATATTATATTTAGTGTAATTTCATTTAAAGTCCCAACAAAGATATTTTGAAATTAGATTAAGTGCTCCTAGAGCGTCTGTTGAAGAATAAACTGTGAGACATGACAAAGCATTATGATAACTATAAGCAGAAGAAATTGCCTTATGTGCTGTTAATATGTACCATAAAGCCACCTTCATCAAAACAGCGTGATGTTGACACCATAGCTAAGCACCACAGAATAGAGTACAGACAGATCATAGAATTTTCTGGAATTTAATATTTGTGATTCTGTGGCAAATAGGCTTTATTTAGTAATAACTGACCCATCTACTTAAAAAAATAAAATGTGACTTTTATTGCATGCCTTATAAAGTTAATTTTCTATAAATTAAAATCTTAACCAAAAATTATAAAACAATGCAAATATTCACAGAAAAATGAGATGATTAAATACAATGTAGTAATTGGGGCGACTGTTTCAGCCAAGGGATTGGAAATGCAAAGGTACAAAAGAAAAAAATAGGCATTTTATCCTTTATGAAAATGTTAAATATTTGCATGGAAAAATATATCATCAAATTTAATAGACAAACAATAGATAGGAGAAAGAATTTCATCACATATAGCAGTTAATAAATTAATATCAACAAAACATGAAAAAATCTAATAATTTGATAGAGCAATAGAAAAATAGGCAGATAATTTGAATGAGCAATTTATAGAAGAGCAAAAATAACTGACCAACCATGTATGAAAAGAGTCTTAACTATGCTAAGGAAATGCAGATTTAAGTACAATATAATATTATGCTATATCCCTTGGACAGGCAAAATATTAAAAGTATGATAATTCCAATTGCTGACGAGGATAGAGAAAGAGTAGTTTCATGTGTTGCTGGTAGAAATCTGAATTACTACACTCTTTTGGGGAAATAATCAGGCAACAGCTATTAAAATGTAAATTCTTCTCCTGGAACTAAAATTAGCTTAAGTAATGATACATGTACAAAAATTATGCATTGCAGCACTGATTATAGTAGGCAGACCCCCTCCTCAGAAAAAACAAAATAAAATAAATGTCCATGAAAAGAGCAATGTTTAAATACATGCAGTATTTGCTTACCGTGAAATATTCAGCAGTCTTTTAAAAGAATGAGTTATAACTCCAACATTTGGCATATACACTTAGTATGAATTGTGAAGATTAACAAGATGGAGAGGAGTTTATAGAATATGAAATCATTTTTGTCAAACAGTGGCAAAGACTCTGGTATGTGTATGTATAATTATATATACTGTAGTGTGTATGTATAATTATATTGTAAATGTATATGTACACACATACACGCACACATTGCCAAAGAATAAATGAAATCTTGTTTTATTTTAAATCCAGAAAGTGTCAGATGCACTTTTATTTGTAATCCCCCCCTTAAAGAGAAGATATTAGTTAAACTACCCTCTCAAACACTGGGAAATTAAGCTCAGATTTTTTTTTTCATGATGTCAAGGAACACAGCATTAGCTGGGGGGGGTGTGGTGGAGAGTGGGAGAGCGTTTACATTTAAGAATAATTAATAGAGATCTTGTCTTAGAAGTTTCTATTGAGAAGAGGCCCTGGTTTTATGGCATCACCTATTGAATGGGAGTATCTCATAGTTAGCCAAGCATATATTAATTAGTACATTCTACCAAAGCCTTCAGCTTCTTAGGTTTTGGAACCAGTTACCATATTTGGAAAAAAATCAATGACTCAAATGGAAACTTTACAGCGCTTCTCTCCTCTGTTAAGATATCCACGTCATCAGCTTGTTATCCAAGTGGAAAGGCACATTTTTATCCTTCAGTGGATCTGTCTTCTTCACCTAGTAAGAGTTGATTCTTCCTCCCACGGCTGTGTTCTTAGTGTAGCTAAAAGTGGGTGCACCCATCCTGTTTACTCCCACCCTTACCTTCTTGAAAAGAGAGAATAGATTGGTAGTATGTGAACATTTAGATGTTATGTGAAACAATAAAATTAAATATCCTTCTTAGAAGTGGTTTTCAGACTTCTCAAAAATTGACACAGGGTAACAAATACGTTTTACATCACATTGAGTTGTGTTGGTGTGTGGATGCTTGTGTGTGTGCATATAAAATAATGAACACAATTTTATGAAACATTACTTGTTCTTATCATATGCACTCCAAACAATTTCTACTCTCTTCTAGTCTACTTTATTTTATCATGTAAAAAATGATCACAGCACACTGAGTTGACTTAGTGACCCACTAAATGGGGTAGTGACCTGCAGTTTGAAAACATACTGCATCAAAGGACTCCTATCAAAGCGGCATGCATGGCATTCCATGATCAGAAGATTTTCACTGGACTGGAGAGACAGTTGCTCAGTGAGGTCAAATACAGACCTAGGCATGTTTTGCTTCATTTCACATATGCCAATAAGGTCAGCTTATGTGAAAGACTTTCTGATAGCAGGTTCCTTAAGGTAGTTTTAAGTTTGCCTTGGGCAAAAGCATTGCAATACTTTCAGAGAATTAGCTTAAGCTAGAGGCAAAGAAATTTTAACTGCTGTGGTAGATGCTTTAGCTAACGATGTTTCCTACAGTTGGGACTGACATGAGAAGACTGGTTATCTTGGTATAAATAGAAGGCATCTCAATTGATTTCAACTCTGCCCTAAGCTTTCTTGGATTCCAATCGCATTTAGGCTTTAAAATAATATGCCGAAGTTGGAAGAAGAATTTCCATATGAAACTAAGCAACACTTAAGTATATTCTTTTATAATAATAACCCCGGTTGGGCATATTGCCTAATTAATTCTTCATAGAGTCAGTAGAGATCAGTTGTACACTGTTCCAAATACAGGATTTGTGTGGGTCATAAGAACACAGGTGACTTATATACAGGTATTTAAAGTGGAAGTGTTTGAAAATCTGACTCATACTTTGACTGCAAAGTAAAATAAAGTGTGTTACATCTAACCAGATTTGGGAGCAAAGAATTTCAAAAAGCCAGTGGAAATTGGACTCTGCCTATGGCCTCTTTTACAATATACCTAATTTAAGATGTGTATAAGAAACATTTTTAAATATTCACTAGGGAAACAAAGCCTTTTCTATTCTGCCATTTACTTTATTTTTTAACCTAACTTATTTTTCTGAATGATTAACACTGATGCCTTTGATTGTGTGGGTGTTGTCAAAAGATAGTTCATCACAAGGGGAAAGGTTGGCAACCTCTCTCTGCCTGGTACTTTTCCATGAGCCTCCTTTCACTATTCTCATTGTTATTTCCTTTCACTCTGAAGTAGTTCCAAATCTGATATTGAAGGAACTCGATTTTATTTTACAGGAGTATTTGAAGTAAATTGAGCCATTTTTGCTTTTAGGTTTGGTTAGTATGCACCACACAGAGAAGAATATAAAATAAAAGCAATAGCAATAATAACTTAGGTTTGACAAAACACAAAACCAAAAAGGGTATGTTGAGACACAGAAAGTCAAATTATAGGTACTCCTAAAACTCATCCTTCCACTTTCCTTTCTTTACTAGAATTCTCTGCCAACACTGGAGTGTTGGTGGTTAGGATAGAAGGAAGTATAGATATAGCTATCTGCTTCTAAGACATTTGCCGTGTCTTTCTACGGCCGAAGACAACTTCCAAGTAACTAAACGTGCCACTGGAAATAGTTCCTGTGAACTATATTGATCATAATTTGAAGAATTTCTACCAGCTGTGACATTGTGAATGGCAGGAATGCCTGTCTTAGTTTGTAGAACTCTCAAAATATGACCCCAATTTTGTGACCAGCCTCAAATGAAGCTGACTGTTGTCCCTGGTGCTCCATTTTCTGCATAGGTTCTAGGTTATTTTTTTCTGAAAACACTACTGAAGTTAGTGGCATGCGGGAGTCACTGCAATAACCAAACTGATGACAGGAACCCATGAGACTCAGAGCCATGAAAACTGTCCCAGCAGGCTTTACAGCAGCAGTCTCCAACCTTTTGGACACCAGGGACTAGTTTTGTGGAAGACAGGTTTTCCACAGACCAAGGTCGGGGGATGGTTTTGGGATGATTCAAGCACATTGTATTTATTGTGCACTTTATTTCTATTATTATTATAGTGTAATGTATAATGAAATAATTATACCACTCACCAAAATGTAGAGTCAGTGGGAGTCCTGAGCTTGTTTTTCTGCATCTAGATGGTCTCATCTGAGGGTGATGGAAGCCAGTGACATCATCAGGCATTAGATTGTCATAGGGAGCGAACAACCTAGATCCCTTGATGTGCAGTTTACATTAGGATTTGTGCTCCTTTGAGAATCAAATGCTGCCAGTGATCCCATAGGAGGCAGAGGTCAGGCTATAATGCAAGCAATGGGGAGCCACTGTAAATACAGACGAAGCCTTGCTGGCTTGCCCACCACTTACCTCCTGCTGCATGGCCTAGTTCCTGACTGTCTGTAACCCAGGGATTGGGGACCCCTGCTTTAGAGTATGTTGTACTGAATATATCATTCTCTGTTGCCACATTAAGGAAACAATGGCACCATTATTGCAATAGCAATAAGGTTGTCTTGTCTTCACTCTATATATTGACTATAGTGATTTGTATATCATATAACATTATGTGGAATCTTAATATGATTTTAAATTGACTTGTCCTCATAACTACAGTTAACATTTCTCTCTTACACTGAATCATTCCTTGCTGATCTTGGGTTTTCTTTTCTTGCTGTGGAGTTGTGTTGTTGTTTATTTTGTTCCAGCCATGTTTTCTTTATTCTCAGTAATACTCTTAGCCTTATTTCCTGGTGGATGATTTTGCAGAAGAACAAATTGTCCTTTGGCTTTTGCACCTGTGTGTTGCTCATTGTCCACTTGCTTGATGTGTTTCTGTGAAAGGAAGAAACTTTTCCTTTTCTAAATGAAGAAGAGAGAGGCCAAATGTGTTTTTTTTTTCCCAGCTCCCATCAAAATATGGACTTAATTCCTTTTCTTTGATTTTGAAAAGAAATGGTGAAGGGATAACGATGTATTTAAAATTGGGTGAATTGTGTTCTTTCTTCTAACTGAAACAGTGCAGAGAAACCTACCCATTGTGTAATGTTTCATGTGCGGCATTGTAGATGTGCAAGAACAGCAGTGTTTTCTACTTGGCTGGCTATCCTGGCATATAGTTCATCAAAATAGAGAAAAAGGGTGCAGATATTCTGAGTGTACCAAATGAACTCTAAGCATGTTTACCTCCCTATCATCTGAGGAGAGAGAGCTGGGAGCGAAGGAAGAAGTGAACAACTGTGGAATGTCTCCCTGTCCTCAGTGGCCTCCAGATACCTCTGTTTTTTCTCCCCCTCCCTTCTGTTCATTGGGCACTGACATACCTTGTCATTACGAGCTATTATTATTTTTAACAAGGTAAGTTCAAGAAGAAATTAAAAAGAGCCAGTATTCATACTGTATGATAGCATATGGACCTTGCTATTCTAAAACATAATCTAAGTAGAATCAAAAGATTTGAACAAAATTATGAATGAAGGACCCTGACATATCAGCTTTCGTGATAGCTTCTGTAGATGCCCGGGGAAAGAAAACCATGTTCTCTCCTCACTGTTCCCTTAGGGCCTTTGTTGTAGGAGAATAGTGGGAGGGGCTGAGGTTGGCTTTGACTACAAGTGGAAATTTTTGTTTTCCTGATGAGCCTGGCACTCAGGACACCAGACATTTAACTGTAGGTTTATGATTGTCACCCAGCCATACTGACACCTGCTTTTAATGCCAAGAGTTTCAGAACCCGGCTGACCTGAGCAGAATAAAGTTCTTTGGGTTCAATCTGCAGCAATCAGAGTTTTGAGAACAACATAAAAAACTTTTTTTTTAATCTGGTGTTGCCTCAGCAGGATCCCAGAATGTACTTGCTGGTAGCTTAGAACATAGTCTATCCCGGGTAGGAGAAATAAAATTGCAGCTGTGATGTGACTCATTCATACTCTGTTCTTTTAATGGAGAAAAACTTGCAGTGACATCATCTGGCCACCAGGGGATGTGCTGTTGCCAGAGAGCCCTTGATTTTATCTGCCAGCAAGTCCTGGGGCAGGAAGTAGACCCTTAACAGAGAGCCCCATCTTAACTCCTAAGAAAATCAGCATCAGTTTTTTGTTCCCTGTGTTGACTTTCCAACTAGGGCTGAGCCCCCTTTTCTGAATTAATAAGAACCCAGAAAGAAAAGGGAACATTAGTCGTGGTTCCAAATACCAACCAAGCACTTTGCTGCGTATGGTCGGCTTTGGTGGCGGGCCTGAGTCTGCACTGACCCGCATGGACTCACCTCTCTCACATCTGCACCTGACTTGCACATATACTTTGTTGATAAAGCCCAATGACAGTTGGATCTATCACAAGTGTCCCACCTGATTTCTTGGAAGGTTTGATTAGCATCCGTGTCCTCCTTAGCAAACATTTAATTATAAGGGCTGGTTGTTAATAATCATTGTTCACATCTATTTATTATCCTCATGTGTTAAACATTGTGCCCAACGGTTTATACAATTTAGTCTCATTTAATCCTCCAAGTAGCTGTTTGAGATAGTTACTATTATCTTCTCTGTTTTGCAGATGAGGAAAGTGAAGCTTAGAGAAGCTAAATGTGATGACTGAGATCACTCCACTGATAATTGTGTTGCTAGGACTAGGTTCAGGCCCCTCTAACTCTGAAAGCCATCCACTTAAATGATACTTGATTTTCAAGTTGGGGGAATGGAAGCTGTGGCTAAGACCTGTCCTGATAGGGTATAGCAGAAGGACTTAGGAACTTTTTTGTTCAAACTGCTTATGTTTATATTCCCCTTTCCTTTCCCTCATCCTTTCCTTTTCCCTCTTCTGATATGCTTTCTGGGTAGGGTGGGGTGTGGGTGTGTCTGTTCCTGTCACACGGAGTCACTGTTCCTCATAGGTGTGCCATAGTCCTCAGGAATATCGGGGTGGAAAAATAGCTGAGAACCAGTGGACTGAAGAATGGTTGCAAAAGTCCCAAGCAGCTTTTCTGTGAATTATTGCCTTTGGTGCTCTCTCTGTGATGGCAGAACTTCACAGGCCACCAAACTGCTGCGGGTGCTGAGGAAGGACAGAAAATAGCCATATATAAGGAAAACATATGACTGTTACAAATATGAAAATATATATATGAAAAACATACATATGCAAAACACATATAGATGAAAAATATATGAAAAACACATATATGAATTCATGTGTGTATATATGTCCTCCTTCCCCAATTCCAGAATCAGTGTAAGAATGCAAGCTGTTATGCATTCATTATACAACCAGTTTTCATTGAGCAACTGCTAGGAGCCTTGCAGAGTGAGCTAGGGCCTTGGTGGTCATGAAGCCCGGCCCAAGTCTTCAAGGAGCTCACAACCCAATGGTTTTTTTGCTTTTCTTGAGGCTAACACTGATGGTTCAATTTTTAGATCAAGTCTCTTAAATCATAATGATTCAGATAGATAGAGAATTTTGTGGAAAAGTCTTCTGAAAAGTTTTTTTTTTTTTTTTCTAAAAAAACAGCCGATAAAAGGACAAGGCCCCATGCTTTTTAGTTTCTAATAGTAGTGGACTGGAACTACTTATGGATTTTGAGTTTTTGTTTTGCTTAATTATAGGATTAGTATTAGGTGTCATTTTCCATTTCCTTTGGAAGCTTCTAGTTTACAATAAACTAGAAATGCCAGCTGACAGCAGGCTAAGATCCAGAAGACCCATTAACTCTACAGTCTCAGCATTACTGAGCTTTTTGTTTAAAGGTTAAGGACGTTTATAACTCAACAACCCCTCAGGTCATGCATGAAATACATCATAGCACCAAGAAAGTAGTGTTTTCTTCCTTAAACACATCTCTTATCCTGTCATTCCCCTGCTCAAAAATCTGTGCTTCTGTACTACTTCCAGACTCCTTATTGTGCGATTCAATGTCCTCTATGATCTGGACCAAATGTCCTTTTCGGCGTATTTCCTACTATCTTTAGGGTGCCCTAGAACCCTGACCCTACACAATTAAGCAACTCTTGGTTCTTTTAACGTATCTGATACTTTGCCAATGACCTTCCATATAAGATGCCCTCCCTACCTCTATCTGTCAAAATCTTGTTTTAATATATGTGCTGCCGAAACGAGAATGAAATCTTCCCACTTTGTAAGACCAAACTCAGACAATATTATCTCTATGAAGATCTTTGGTATCAACTATTGGAATTAAACATTCCTTATTTGTGTTAATAGCGCATAGTTTAAACCTTGGTTAAAGCATTTAATGTCTTCTTTTCTTATTTATCGTTAGTTGGTGTCAACCTAAAATAATCAAAAGGGTCAGAATCTGACTTAAAGAGGGTTTATTCAGGGCAAAGTTTGGGGATAGCCCACCTGTAAACACCAGCTCCAAAGGAATGGAGTCAGCGTTCCGAAGTAGGGAAGTTCAAGTTTCATTTACGTATGGTCAGAGACCAGGGAGTTTTTAGCAGGATTACAACATTTTTCAGACAAAGGTGGCACACAGTTGCAGCAATTTGATTGGCTGTATAGGCTGTGTTTCTTTTTGGGAAGGATACATTTAACATTTGTTACAGAGGGTATAGTAGTTATGGGTTTTCTGTCAACTGGCCTAAGCAAAGCAGGACAAGAAAGGGGAAGTTAATCCATAACAAGCGTCATTAAGATGGCAGCAAGTTTTTGTCCCTGTTGTTGTTTAAGCCTCTCTAGTCATTGTACAGAACAAGAACAATAAGAAACAAGTTGTTCTATGATCTGAGAAACAAAAGTCACAACCCTGTGTGGTTCAGATCACAGTCACATCCCTCTCAAGGCTTAAAGTGTCTTCAGGGTTCCAACAGCTTTTAAATCATATTTATTTTCACAGTGGGTACATCATGGACCTCTAAGTCCTTTGAGATTAAGAAGCATGTCTTATGCATTTTGTGTCACCCATCCATGAGAGGAAGGTTTTATACAAAATGAGTAAATTTTTGAGTGGTATAAGATTAAGTAAATTTTAGATCTATGGAAAAGGCACTTACATGAAATTCTCTGATGGTACTGAACAAATTGCATTGTTGTCTTGCTCCAGTCAACAGGCATCTTTTTGATCCTTTGATGTACCAAGCAGGTTTTACCCTTAGGGCATCTGACCGAGCTGTTACGGCTCCCTGGAAATCTGTTTTATTCTGGAATGTCACATAGCAACTCCTTCTTAAGGCCGAGTGTACTGACCCATCTTAGAGAGGCTTTCTGCAACTTCTCGGACCATTGTTGGTCTTGCACGGTGACAAAGCCTGTCTCCAGTCACTCCATCACATTGCCCTGTTCGCGCTATCACAGCCAGGTCAGTTGTTGCTCACCTGCTCATCATGTGTCTCTAAAGCTTCAGGAGAGCAGAGCCCTGTCTGCTCTGATAATCATTGTCTCTCCAGGACCTAGAATAGTGCAGAGCTCACAGTAATGCCCCTTACATCACACTATATTATTTAAAATCAGTGGGTTTTGACATTGGCTGCCCATCATTGTCATTGGTGGAGATTAACAAAACACAGATGTGCGAAGTTAACCTCAAAGATTCTGATTCAGTAGGACTAGAGCGATGCCCTTAAATTTGGCTCTAAATGTATTAATCATCAAAGACTCAGGAAAACAGGGAAGATAAGCTTTCCATAGCTTCCGAAGTTGTAGCTGTTTTTAAAATTGTTTATATTTTCTTTTAAACCCTCATCCCATATCCTTAAGCCTTGTGACTGCCGCGGAGAGAAAAATAAGATCAAACATGAGCTTACATTAGCCACAGAAACACCTGGGGCAGTTCCAAAGTTTTAATTACTGCTTCATTAATGTAAAAGCTTAATTATAGTTTTAATGTATAAACAACTTTCGGCATGTGCCCCACAAATACAAAAAAGTCTAAGTAATTATTATCCTGGCTCCTGTCTCAACACGAGACCAGTGATCACCAAATTATTTTTAAGACGCAGACTACATTTAAATGATTATTGAATTATGTTTTCTGTTAGCTTATATAAAGCGCATGACATTTAGTAACTTAAAAAGAAATGCTTATTTTATCTATAATATGTACTTTGGTGTTTATCAGATTCTGTTCAAATTGTGTAGCAAATTTCCTTGAAAGTAGAACTTTCTTTTTTCCTCACATTCCTGTATTTGATATCAGACTATTCTTAGACTCTCCACCTCACTCATCACCATGGTGTTTACGGATTTATATGTATGACATGCTGTCACCCTTACTTATACATGAGGCATGGAGGTGAGAGTGAATAAGAATCTTGCTCAGAGCCAATTAGTTGCAGACCCAGCATTGGAATTCCTCTCCCATAGTATCAAAATTGTAGGCATATTCCTAGATCATTAGGCAGGAAAAAGAGAAAAGAAAAGAAAAACTACTCAGAGACATCTGGCCGGATCTGTGCCTTTCATCAGAATAATCATGTCCTGAATCTCCCACTGGGGTTGTCAGAAAAGACTTTTTCCAAGCTTTTCTACACCACGGAGAGCTACATTTAATTTATAACCTGAAAGTATCCCCTAAAACAGACTCATAATCATGCTTGCTGAAATTTTAGCCCAGCCTTCTTGCTTGCTGAGAAAAGAGCTGACTGTCCTTTCTCTTTGAATAAGCCCCCTTGTATGAACAGTCTCTAGAGATGTCCCTTTTCCAGATGAAAATCTGTTTTATGTGTTATTATGTTGACCTTCCAACCCCTTCAATGATTTTACTTTTTCATCTTGGTGAGTCTGTTCTCTCTATACTCTAGTTTAATAGCTCTAATCTGCACATATCCACCATATATCTAGTTCAATATCAAGCAGGTAGCCAGTGAGTTCACAAACTCAGAAGGGCAAGAAATATAACTTTTCTTATTTTTCGGCAACTCACTTTCACTTCTATTTCGAGTTCTTTTTCTACCAGGAGAATTTTAGGGAAATGTTTGTCCCCAGATCAAGAGACACTCCCCTCTTTCTGCTTGCTAGGCCCAAAAGTACAGACTCTTTTGAAAAGTGCAGAGTTTAGAACTCTAAGAGGAAGTATAGTCAGAAGGATTTTTTTTTTAAAGCAAAGTCTATTTTTCACCCAAGGTGGAATATAATATAAAGCACTAATCATTTATACAAACATGTTATTTATAAAATAACAGCCCACTAAGCCTCAGAGGTGAGGGGTTGCCCCATCCGATTTTCAGAGTCTAAAAGAGGCATTTGAGTGTCCATTACCTGAAACAGCACAGGCACTAGTGTCTCCAGAGAAAAGGAAATGGAAGAGGGACGCAGGGGATGTTACCACAGGATGTGATGAATAGCAGCTCACTGCTGGAGTTCACTCACAAGAGGCTGGGTAAATGCTGCAGCTCAAGGTCAGTGTGAGGCAGGCCAAGGGATCGCTTAGCCCTGGAACTTCTGAGTGAGTCCTTGGCTCCAGTTAAATAAGAAGCAGCCAGGATCTGGGAAGGTCAACACAGTCAAAGCCCTACCAGGAACTAGGATTGTACCCTGGGCTTCAAGCCAAGACCAGGGCACTCTGGCTGATCTGAGTGTGATCTTGAACTCTGCTTTGCCCTCTGAGAGAAGGAGACGGAGCTCTGTCTACCTTCAGGGACAGAGGTCTGCAGTTAGTTTCCTGATTACAGCAGGAACAACCCAAGAGACCATCAGATATTGGGAGGCTCTTACAGTGCTCTAAACCCTTTCAGGCAATTTGAGTCTTCTGTGTCTATTGTCTTCACAGTCATCTTGTATACCGTTGGAAACCTATAGTGATAAGTGATTTTCAGCTACTTACTAGAGATGGGAGAATTCCAAAGTTCTTTCCTTCATTGTCCATCTCTACTCATTTGGGTAGAGTTATACCCGGTTCTATCCCTGCATACATGCTTGCATGCATTGGGTAAGGGAGATCTATTTACAAACACGTGACCACAAACACATGACCAGCTTCCAAAGCTGAGAGTGCCAGGGACACACAGGGGTTATTGGTCACCTGAGTATAGAAAAAGCAGGGAAACCCAGCTCAACCACTTTCTGTCTGTGAACATCAATTTTTCTCTTTATAAATTAGGGATGCATATGAAATAATGTGCATAAAATCTTCGGCACAGTGCCTAACGCATTGTGAACACAAGTGTCAGCCAAAATTATGGGCATGCAGCTGTCTCTGTGTCTGATGAGCAGAGCTTCCTCAATGCATTGTCAATGGCTCAATTTTGGAAATGGTCAATGTCTAGAGACAGTGCTGATTGCCACAAATGGGGGGATGAGTACTACTCGTATCTAGTTGGCAGAGGCCAGATATACTGCTGAGCATTGTACAGTGAACGGGACAGTTCCCCACAATCACAACAAAGAGTTCCCCTACCCAAAATTCCAGAGTGCTGAGGCCGAGAAACCCGGCGAAATGGTCATAGCAAGATGAGATGAGTTTAGCTGATTTTCCTTCATCCTTAGGAATAAAAACATGTTAACATATTAACATTATTGACCTCTACCAGCACTTAAAGAGAGAAAGAGCCTATAGAATCTAAACCCTGCTATGAAACAAAATCTGATTCTGGTGAGAGAAAAGTCTTCCTTGATTCTCAAGAGAAAGTAAAAGGTTTTTGTGGTTTTGACTTAAATAATTCTAATGACTCAATTTGTTTATTGAACAATAGATTGAAGGACCTAAGGCTGGATTTTGTTGATTTTAATTTTTACCAATAATGTAGTATAAAAAATGTTTTGCTAGACTTGTGTGATTTACTAAATAATTATTGATATTTGCATATCATGTAGGATCAAGAAAAAGTCACATGTTAAATTCTATGTACAGAGATAATTATTTTCAGTCAAATGAAAGTAAAGGATTCCAGGTGCAGTGGCTCACGCCTGTAATCCCAACACTTTGGAAGGCTGTGGCAGGAAGAATCACCTGAGGTCAGGAGTTCAAGATCAGCCTGACCAACGTGGTGAAACCTCATCTCTACTAAAAATACAAAATTAGCCAGGCGTGGTGGTGCATGCCTGTAATCCCAGCTACTTGGGAGACTGAGGCCAGAGAATTGCTTGAACCTGGGAGGTGGAGGTTGCAGTGAGCCAAGATTGCGCCATTGCACTCTAGCCTGGGCAACAAGAGCGAAACTCCATCTCAAAAAAAAAAAAAAAAAAGTAAAGGAGATATTATGTTTAGCTTGCCTGCAATATACAAATTAAATGTGCTAGAATTGAGCACTTACAGCACAAATTATAGGAAATAAGATGGTGAAAAATTAAAAATTACTTAGGTCATAAAAATGCAGAAAATACATAAAAAGGCTTTGGAGTCATAGAGCACCTTTTAAAGCTCGACTTTCATTGTATTTCCATGTTGTTCCATTACATTAGGGAAAGCCTCCTTAGTGGCTTCCCTCATTGCCTAGACTGGGTAAGCGGGGACACAGGGTCATTGCCTAGACTAGGTAAGTGGGGACACAGGGTCATTGCTACCTTTCGTAGTTGCTTTACTGTGCTAAACTTCTGAAGAGTCACCTTTTAAAAGCGAACATACGTTTTCAAAGCCACTGATTATTAAGCCCCTCTTTCAGTCATCTTATTTGCAGACTTTCATTTTCGAGCTTTGTTTGCCATCTGGGAAGGATTTTGAAAGAGAACATAGGCCTCTTCCTGCTTTTATGTTCAGCATGCCATAAATTCCATTAATGAATTCTTAAGATCGTTTGATCGGTTTAAAAAAAAAATCTCTAGATTCAGTCAGTTGTTAAAAAAAAGTGTTCAAGATTGTCTATAATTGCACTAGCCACAAACAGATTTATATAGGTATTTTCTTTGTAAAAAAATCTATTTGAAATATTGGAAATGTTTTCAGGAACTAGATACAAAAGATATACCTGGTTTTTTGAATAATTTAGCATGTCCTAATGTTTAAATGTTCCTCAGTAGTCATTTATCTCCAGAGCAAGTAAATACAAATTAAAAAAAAAAAATTAACAGTTATATATGTGCTTATTGTAACCAGTCAAGTAATACAGAGGAATATAAAACACAGTGAATCATCTTCTCCCTGTCCAACCTCACCCTTTTGCAGCAGCCGACATTACCAATTTGGTGCATATCCTTTCTCACCTTTCTCAATGCTCATACAAATGCATGGACGTTCGTGTTCACATAAAAATGGTGTTTTATTCCTCCCCCAAATGGTGCAGATGCAAATATGACTCAGCAACTTGATTTTTGCATTCAACAATATACAATGAAAATTCCTCCTAGTCAATACATGCCCATCTAATTTATTATTTTGTCAACCTAATGTAGTCAGAAGTGTCAGAATCCAATTTAAGGAGAGGTTATTTAAGTGCATATTGTGAGGATGGCCAACTCAAACATGCCAACTCCAAAGGAATAGAGTCAGCGTTCTAAAGTAGGGAAATTAAGGTTTCATTTATATAGTCAGAGACAGGGAAGTTTTTAGCAGTATTTCATTTTTCAGACAGGGTTGGCACATAGTTACAGCAATTTGATTGGTTTATAGGCAGCGTTTCTCTTTGGAAAGGGTACATTTAACATTCATTACAGAGGGCATAGTAGTCATGGGTTTTCTGTCATGTGGTCTTAGCAAAGCAAGGTACCAAAGAGGAAGTCAATCTATAGCAAAGGTCATTAAGAAGGCAGGAGATTTTTGTCCTGGACATTTAATTATCTCTAGCCATTGTAGAGAACAAGAAAAATAAGAAAGTGAGTTAATGTATAATCTGAGAAACAGAAATTATAACCATATGTGATTCAGATCACAGTCACATCTTTCTCAAGGCTTTAAGTGCTTTGGGGGTTCCAATAGCTTTTGCATTATATTTATTTTCACAAATTTTAAGAACTGAAAAATAGTATACAGTGTGGGTATATTATACTTGAATACTGGTACCTTACTGATGGACGTTTAGGTTTTTGTAGTTTTCTACCACTACCAACAATGATTTATACTCTCTCCTTAGGTTTGCACCTTTTTTTCTGTAAGATCGATTCTCAAAAGTGGGATGGCACTGTCAAAGGCTCTCCCAGTCAGGTGTCACAGTGCAAAAGCCAACAATGTGTGGTTAGAGGATCCGTTTTTTCACAACCTTACCAACACAGGCTCTTATCCCATTTTGGATTCTTTGCAAATATCTTAGATGAAAAACAGTATCTCTGTGATTCTAATTTGTGCTTTCCCTATTGCTAGTGAGGATAAGTGTCTTCATATTTCATCTCACTATTGCATTTTCTTGTCTGTGACTTGAGTGAAACTTTTCTAATTCTTGCATATTTTATTCTTGCTAAACATGTCACGACTCAGAAATACATATTTCCATTTCTTTTAGCATTTATTTTGCTGCTCAGATTTCAGGAGGAAAAAGAATTTTTTTCCTGGGCATTGTCAGTAGTAGCTGTTTGGAATGCTAAAGATTTGATAAGAGACATTGAAGAAATGTGAATGTTACTGAACCGTTTTGCTTAAAGTAAAGGGAAGACTGTCTACACGTCTGACCAATGCTTTTCGAATGTTCAGGCCCCTGAATCTGGCTGCAGTCCCAGTAGGCATGGGTCCAGGCTTGATGTGTTGGTGGTTGCATCATGGCATCACTCTGTAACCCTCGTCATAGCTTTGAAGTTGTGCAAAGATTAGAGAACTGTAAAAATCTCAGGCCTGTCTGAGGAAGTATTTCTTACTATCTATCCCTTTCTTTGAACATGACCTGCAAAAAAAAAAAAAAAAAAGCTTCATTTTGCCCTGCTTTGTATTCATAGTGAATATCTTTCATTGCCAAGAAAACTTTTTACTGAACTAGTTCTAAAGGATGACCCAGCACTTTCTAAGATCAGTAAACCTTTAAGGAGTGACATAAGATGGAATGTATCCTGTCCGGGGAAGCTCAAGGCATGCACAGGCTGTGTTCACCTCACTCCCTCAGGAGTTGAAGAAGATGAGAAACTGGTCCCAGAGCCCTCAACTCTAGCTAGGGTGTCTCGCAACTACTCAGCTAACCAAAGAAATGAGTGGAAAATCAGTTATCTGGTCTATTTTTGATGGTGTGAGAAGAAGGAGGCTGAGGAGGAGAAGGAGAAGAAGAAGAGATTACTTCTCATTTTAATTGAAATGAGCGACTTTTTATTAATGCGTTTGAATTCAGAATAATTTATTACCTGTAGTTTTCTTATAATATAATAAGTGAGACCGTTTTCCTTTTTGCTTAGGGCAAAAATGTAAGGAGGCTGGGTGTTAAATTTGGAGGTTTATCTTTTTTTTTTTTTTTTTTTTTTTTGAGACAGAGCCTCGCTCTTGTCACCCAGGCTGGAGTACAGTGGCCTGATCTCTGCTCACTGAAAACTCTGCCTCCCTGGTTCAAGCAATTCTGCTGCCTCAGCATCCTGAGTAGCTGGGACTACAGGCGCCCACCACCACGCCCGGCTAATTTTTGTACTTTTAGTAG